CATCTATCGAATTCAAATAAATAATTTTAAATTATTATTTTTCTTTTTAAATTTTAAATAGAAATAGACTACTATTATATAATAACTTGCCACTGAGGATTAAATCTGGTAGTTGGTTTAACTTTTTTAAAACTCGGATAGCATCCCGACCGTCACAAGCACGATGTACATCAAATTCTTTTAGCAAATCCGTCAAATAATTTCTAAAATATATATGAAAAAAAAAAAATTTATAAAGATTTTTTTTAAAAAAAAAACAATATATTTAATCAAATCAAGAAGATACCGTTACCGCATATCAGAATTATCATCAACAAGTAAAATTTGATATCGATGTTTATTATCATAGATATTTATGGAATCATTCATAAATACAACATCTTTCGTTGACATTTGATCTTCATCTAAGTTACAATCATTTAATTTTTGAATTAATATATCATCATCATTATCTACAATTGGATTATCTTGTATCCATTGTGAACTTTCTTCTAAATAAAGTTGTTGTTTTGAAAATAATTTATTTTCTTGATTTGGTAAATTTTCTTTATCATTAAAGGATTTTTGATTTATTGGTAAATGTTGATGTCCAATCGGAAACCAACATTTAAATGTCGTTCCTTTATTTACTACTGAAGTTACAGTAATATCTCCACCATGACGCGTAACAAGTTCTTTAACAAGAGTAAGACCTATTCCCGTGCCTTCGTGACTACGTGAGCTTTGGGATTCTACGCGATAAAAACGTTGAAATATATTTGGAAGAACCGTTTCTGGAATACCAACTCCTAAATTGGAATAATTAAAAAAATATAATAATAATAATAATTAAAAGATTATAATAAATCTACATTAATAAGAAATAAGAAATATTATTAACCTGTATCAGACACTTCGAGAATTATTATCTGTTTTTTATCCTTGAAGTCAAGATATAAACGAACTTTGACGTGTCCACTCCAAGTATGTTTTAATGCATTTGAACCTTTAAAAAAAAAAAAATTATTTTTCAATATAATGAATATTATAAAAGTTTATCAAGTTTAAACACATATTCTTTTTTTTTTGGAAAACACTTACAAAGATTAAAAACAATCGTCTCATACATATCATGATCTAGATAAACTTTATCTTTCACAGATTTATTAAAATCAATTGAACTTGGAATATCAATTATATAATCTAATTTCAATTTTTTGGCCATTCCTTCAAAATTAACGGCTAATTCTCGTGTAAGCTCAATTATGTCTGTTTCACGATAATTCGCATCTAATAGGCCAGATTCTATACTTGAATACTTTAATATAAAAAAAAAATTTTATGAACTAAACTTCATTTTAATATTGTATAGTTAACATGTGAAATGATAATAAATTTTACCTGTAGTAAAGTATTAATTAATTTAAGTAATCGAAAAGTATTACGTCTTATAATTTGTAGATGTGACATCATTTGCGTTCCCTGTGGACATGTATTAATGACTTCTTCAAGTGGTGAAAACATTAAGGTTAAAGGTGCTAATAAAGAGTAAAAAAATAAATAAATAAGTTTAAATGCACAAAACATTTAATATATTATAATAATAATAAATACTTTTTAATTCATGACTTATGTTATGAAAAAACATAACTTTCTGATGATTTAAATCAGATAATAATTTCGACTGCATTTTTTCTTCTTCGACTGATTTTCCATGCATCAAAAATGCATTCACATGACTCATGGTTAACTAACAAATTTATAACATATATTTTTTTAAGTATTTCCAATCCAATAAATAAAAAGATTATATATTTGCGTACTTTAAGAAATTCCATATACTTGTCATCAAGTTTACGACGTGGGTTAATACCAAAAATCAATATTGCTGACATAGCTCGTTCTCCAAATGAAATATTTGTTGGTAATAGTATAGCTTGAGAAGAATCTTTTAAAAGGACTTTGACATTTTTATTCTCTTTTATTACAAGATGAATTGGCCAAGATTTACATTTTAAAAATGTATAAGTTGATGTTGCCCATTTTTTTTCTATATAAGTTTCATATTTCTCATTATCGAAATTATTAGATAAATCAATTATTTCATGAGTTTCTGGAAAATAATCAGGAAATTGCCTTTTAAATTTT